CTCAGCTCGTCGTGCTGATCAAGAATATATATACTTTATGGGGTCTGCGATGATTACTTCTGCCCGTTACATACTTTTACACAAAACCATTATACCCTGGTTTCCCATTTTCAATGGATTCAGGGTATACAACAAATTTTTTCCCAGGTTGGCACAACTGTCTGCCACTATTCTGTAGTATTTTATTGCTATGTGTCATTTAGTTTGGCGTAGCTACGGCGTCATCAGGAAAAAGTCAACCTTTTGTGTGTGTTGCGATTTTTACTATGGATAAAAATATGAAGAGTTTTTGTGAAATTTTGTGTTTTAAACGAACTTTCTTCTGCCAAAACGTTGGAAATGTTGAGCAAACCATTTGGTGATTAAACGATGTCGAAAACTCAAGTTTACTCTTGGTATACATCGTTCAAAGAGGTGCGAAAACAAGTGAACGATTTACCACTTTCAGGACGACCATCGACCTCTTAAACTGAAGATTTTGTGATGTTGCTCATTCGGAATTCTTAACGGAGGGCTAATCCGTCAATAAAGAATATTATCTTGGCGTCATAAGCCGTTTAAGAGACAATTTTCGGCAAAAGACCAGATTTGTGGCGAAACAACAGTTGGATTTTGCGCAACGATAACGCACCAGCGCACAAAGCGATCGTTCACAATGATAGCATAGAGTTTTTGAGCAAAAAGTCAACAAATATCATCAGACAACCACCGTACTTTCCAGAGATGGCCCCGTGTGACTTTTTCCTGATTCCAAAACTCGAATTTCAACTTCGTGGTACCCATTTTGAGAGCATTGAATAAAACCTAATTCGCAAAGAGAACTGAAGGCCATACCCCGGAATATAGCTTTAAAAAGTGTTTCGATTATCGGATTGTTCGTTGGAAGAAGTGAATTCCCTTAGTAGGGGCCTATTTCGAGGGGGATATAATAAATTTAGATGATTAATAAATTGTTTGGGCTTTATTTAAAATTTCCGGGTACTTATTTGACAGAATGTATATAAAACATGGTTGTGTTTGTTACAACACTTATAGCTCGAAATCGGCTGGAAAAATTTTCATAGTTTTTGGTTTGTTGTATTTGGGTCCGCCTCGAATAGCAGAATATGTCTTAAAAATACTGAAAAATTGACAAATATTTGAAAAATGCGGCATCCCTAAAAATTTTGTAAGTTCGGAGCTGTCTTTGCATTGTCATTTATAATTTGCTCAGTATGCTTGATACCGTGGCAGTTTTCGGTCATGTTCTCATGTAAAACAATTATTCATGCACATTTTATTAATACGTAAATGGGATTAATAAATGTACCTGATAAGTTTTTCTCTATGTCTCGATTGTTTTATGTGGTTTTGTGCGAGTTCATATTCAGTATTTTAATTAATAAAAATCCGGCGTCCTAGAAGATCTAATGTTTCCCAGCGGACCAGTAATGCAACTAGGCAACGGAATATCGCGAGTAAATTATCTGACGAAGAACGATAAATCACCAGTAAAGAGCACCGCGTTAGTATGGAGCAAAGAAGGGCCCTAATTCGTGCTTCTCAAACACAAGAGCAAAGAGAGGCAGCCCGTGAAACGGCTAGATTAGAAACGAGATATCGTCGAGCTTATGTAACAGATGAATAGAGGAATAATCATCAAGTCCGAGGAGAAATGGTTTAAGTATTGATTTGATTGCACCATCGACTACATTCGAAGGACCAATGGACGTTGTTTGCCATCATTGTGGCGCATTGAAGTTTGCTGGTGAAACGATCGGTTTGTGCGGGCTTAGTGGTAAAGTGATATTGCCATTATTGGTTCCGATACCAGAGCCATTGCGTTTCCTGCCCTAATCACATTTTCTAGCGAATATTTAAAAATACAATGCCCCTTTCCAAATGCCTTTATTTGGGGTGGAAATTATTGAAGAACAAGGATATAATCCGACAATTAAGATAATTTACGTTAAAAATATTATTTTTTTATGATTTAAAAAAAAATTTGTTAGATTTCGGTAAAAGTGTTTGTAAAACTAATTACAACTATGGCTTTAAATTTACAGATTCAAGGTCAGATTTGCCATCGCATTGGATTATTGCAACCTTTTGGAGATGCACATCACAAATTCTTGCAAATTTACTTCATGGGCAATATGGAAGAACAACTTGACCGGCGTCAAGGGATCAACACAGCTACGAAAAGAGAAATTCTTCAAGACCTACAGCAAATGCTTCATGAACATCATGTATTGGTCAGGCTGTTCAAGACTGCTTTAGAAAAGACTAGCTGGAACACATGAGCGCACATTTAATGCTACAACAATCGATGAAGTGGCTATCCTAATTGTCGGTGAAAACTTGGAAGCACTTGATATTTTGCTTACACGACACAATACTGGGCAAAGACTTTAATTTTTTATTAAATGTTCGTATATATAGCGCGGATATCAAGTTAAGCACTAAAAATCGATAACTTTTAATTTTTTATACAATTTCGGTTTTTGTTAAAATTTACCCCCCTACCTCTATATCCACCCCGTCACACTTATATATGTAAAAGGCGTGTTTCAAAGACTAGAGACTTGTGCTTTGGAATGTAGGTACACTTATACATTATGATTTCGTTTTGAAAGTTTCATTTAGATTATACGTTTAGATATTAAATTATACGACAAATAAATATTTAAAATATTTCAGCAGCGCAGCCCAAGCGCAGTCGCCTGTGTATGCGAGTGTTTGTGTTTGCGAACTATTATTGAAATATCAGTTGCATGAAGGGTTGAAGGGATCTCGTAGTCGAGCAGTCTCGACTAGAGCATTCTTGTTTTTATTTTCATTCTGTAGGTTTTCATTATCATTCGTCATAAATTAGTTTAGCTAAAAGGTGACTGAAAAGAGTCTAAAGAGGAGGAAGCTAAATTGCCCATAACCGAGACTTATGGATATTCGCCAAAGCCTATACACTTAAACATGGACATTATGTGCTATTGGGAAGACACAAAGTTCACATATCCACGTTTGTACCGCCTTGCCAAGGTATTTCACTCAGGTCCTGCCACCCAGGTCTCGGTTTTCTGCTCTCAAGCTTGTGTTGACAGATTAAAAATAAATATGTTCCTAAAACTAAATAAATAGTAAACTCATATAGTGTTATATCTATGGGTACAGGCGAACGTGACATTAATACCTATAGCATTAACTCACCTTGTTGCAAGTACCTATGCATATAATTATATATCAATGTATGTGTACAAGCACATGTACATATTTACATACATATTATATATATATATATGCTTGGAAAACGCAATAGGAATAAGTATGAAGAATATAAAACATACAAAATTAAAATCTCTATATCTCTAATATGATTTTGCTTATGTTTAATTTCGTTTTAAATACAAAATATTGAAATGAATGTGTATATATATAATTACCTGCAATAATTTTATTCTATGCTCAACAACATTTATTTTTCCATCAGATCCATTTAAAATAGAGAAAGTAAATTCTAATAACTTTTTTATGATTTTACCATCTGAGCATTTTTGTGATAGACTCTTTAGAGATTGTAAAGATTCACTTCGAGCATCTTCCCCTTTACTGTATAAATTCTTAATTAACACTGTAGCAATTTGATACGCGTAAGGGCTACAATCAATGTTAAGAAGGTTAAAAATTAACCCAACGCTCTCTAAGGTATTTTCGGGACTCCGTAGCATGGACTTTTGTAAATCATTATATATGTACTGCGAAAATTCAGAGTTATTCAGTGTTGATAATAATGGCTCACATGCAGTTATTAATGTCTTTTCTGGTTTTGACTTGCACAATATCATACTTTTCACGAAGTATTCTAAAGTTTGTATCTTATAAGATTTTAGTATATTCAACTGATTGTGGTCAGTTTCAAATCGTATCATTGTCATTATCATTATTGTAATGCTCGAAGTTGCTTCCATTTCATATAATGAAGTCATCGTATCTTTAAAAATATTATTATTTTCCCATAAATCATATAATATTTTTGTGGCTGCTTCTGTGACACGTGTATTTTGGGCAAGAAAAGTAGTTTGGTACAATATCGATTGGTACTCAAATAACCTCAACTTTTCTGTTTTATAAATATTTGACTCTCTATTTGCATTTTTTAAGAGCAAAGAAATCCACCCTAAGGCTACTACTGCAGTTCTGCAGGATTTATGAGCAGGTGATAGTGGTAATTCCTTTACCAAAAGCGTTTTGAAAACAGCTAGCATATGTTCTATAGTTAAATCATGATGATAAGTTGTTAGGTCACAAAGCAATTTTCGAACTAGCAGCTGGGATGGTGCATCTTTATACTTTGATATCGTTGTTCCAATAACTTTACATATACCTCGAATAATGGCTGAGTTCACACCTAAAATTAGAAAATAAATAAATAAGAAGTTATATTTCGTTACATTTTGGATACCTACATCTTTAAAGGTAGAGTCGCAAAATTTTAAATGTAGACTCATATGTATCTTATATAATTTAGATTTTTCTTTTAATTTACCCATCACCCCTATATCCACCACATCGCTATCACCCTTGTATTTTAAATACTACAGCTACTCACTTATTTTATATATCTGTTTGTGTAAAACTAATAAAACAACAAGTAAGAAGACTCCAGTCGAGACTTCTCGACTAGGATATACTCTGAACTAGAGGTGGGCACGGGCAGGGCTTTTATCGGGTACCCGTGGGTATGGGCTGAAAAATCTAATATCGGGCTGGGTGCGGGCGGTTTCGGGTTAGACTAGGTTAATCCGATTTACCCGAACAAATTTTTACTGTTTTATTAAAATTTAAAATGCATAATAAGTTGTTTAATCGACATCAATAACATTGTGTGCGCTTGCAAATTAAGCAATTATTATGCATTTAAATTTGAATAAAACTGTAAAAAAAGTCGACCTCCGCTGACAAAAATGCAACTGACTTAGAAATTGATAAATATTATGCCACACGCTATAATTCAAACTTGTCAATCTTAAATATTTTATGTATCAAAAATATTTTATGTATTCCGGTAAGCTCTGCAACAAGCGAGCGAGTATTCTCCTCTTCTGGAAAAATTTTATATGAAAGGCGAACAAGGCTATCAAGCGCAAATCTTGATATGCTCCTTTTCTTATATAAAAACATGTAATATTTCTGTAAATAATATTGTAATTTTTAGGAATGGAATTTTTATTTTTGAGAAAAAAAAAATTGTAATTTTTGAGAATTAAATTTTTATACTCATTCACGAAGTGAATTAGTATATTGGTTTTGTGCAATGTCCG